GTATGCCCAGCACCCTTTGAAAACCATTTACTTTTGATACATAGATGTTACAATCATTATTGACTCTTAGATTTAAAATTGAGTGGTTGAGAATGTGTCATTGTTTATGCACAAAGTCTAAAGCAAAATTTCTCGAATATTGTAACACAATTTCATTTATTAGATTTCACATCTAATGGCTAAAATAATTACGACCTCATTGTACTAAAAATACATGCTTTCATAATATACAATCTCTAAAAAAAAATCCTGATTTCACCCTCTAAGCACATTAAAAAAATAATGTTTCAATATTGAATAGATACCGTCTATTTTTTAGAGCGTGAAATCTAAGTGTAAGAAAACTCAAATTTCTATTTTATTTTTTTTTCAAAATAATCATTTAGTGATTCTATGGTGGTTACCAAAATTCAAATTGAAAAAATCCTCCCAAATAGGTCTTCCAACCAAGGGAGTAGAAGTAAACTATGCTTCTAAGGGAGCATAGTATATGTGCTTGTATATAGAATACAATTTTAAGAAAAGCTGTAATAAGGAAACGTATATAGTGAGACCATGTATGTGGCATAGGGAGGTCATAATCACCATCGTTCATTAGATGTGAAATTGGGTGGTTGAAGATGTATCATTGTTTCGGCACAAGTTTAAAATAAAATTTTTCGAAAGTTGTAACACACTTTACTCTATTAGATTTCACATTCAATGGCTAAAATTGACTAGGACTTTTTACCACCAAAAATAAATGGTCTCATAATATACAATCTAACATAATAATCATGCATTAATATCTTCTAACATAATAATCATGCATTAATATCTTACAAAGCAGAAAAATATTTTACTTGGCACAAAAAAAACTCCGACATTTAATCACATAGGAGAATTAGTTGGTGTTAAAAAACTCCAACACCAAATCACAATTATGTCATGCCAAAATACTTTCCTGGATAACAAATGTGCCGTTAGCGGTAAAGGTCTAGATGCGCCTTTTCACCCAATGCGACAACCAAAAATCTATCGCAACCAAAATTTCACTATTGCAGGCTTTCTCTTCCTTGTGTTCTTAGAACACAACTAAAGATAATATTTTGCTCCCATATTTCATAACTTTTTTATTTTTTCATTATTTAATGTGGGACAAATAATACACCACTTCTCTCTAATAATAAGATAATGAAAGTTGTTTCATGCGGGCTGGATCGCATTTCTACATATGCAGTCTTAAAGATCAATGAAAGTAGGTTGTCTATCTAAAAACAATGGAAACTAAGGGTCTAAATGTTTTCTTACTAGAATTATTATTTTTGGGTTTTAAAATTTGTTTATTTTTTTCATATTCATGATCTCCATGTTAGAGATTACATGTCCTTAAAAAAATTAAGTCTTAAAATCCATCTCAAAATAAGATTTAGTAAGGGGCCCGCATTTCTACATATGCAGGCTTCCCCATGTAATCTAAGTCCATAAGACAGTACGTTTTCTAAAACTATATATTTCAAAAAGGGAAAGCTTTCTATCCTTCCCCGACTCCATTCAATTTAGATCGAGTGAGCCACTGACCGTTCGATCTAGATCCGATATCTTAGAGTATTTTATTTTTAATCTTTTCTATAAATTATATGAATATGAAATTTGGCATGTGCAGTCATCTCAATGGAGTGCACCTGAAAATAATATTAAAAAAAAAGAAAAATGTCTATATTAGGTTACCTTAAACGGTAGAATTAAGGTTCACTTCAAAAATCTATCAAAGAAAGTTGTTTTGGTGTTGCAAAACCTTGTAATTGATTATCTCAACATCAAGATATATGCGTATAACAAAAAAAAAAAATTTCGAGTCCGAAAAACAATGCATCTTGCACACTTTATCTGCACCATCCATTTTCAAGATTTTCATGTGTTTATAAATCTATTTGATTTGAACTATTTTTGGAGTCTAAATTTTATAATTAGTGATGAAAATAGATTCTTAGGTCATCCTAAGAATTTGGATAAGGTTTCTATAGGGCCGAGGCTTTGTGAAAACAAGATAAAGCTTCAGCTCAATCCTCATCCGAAAAGCAATTTCGGCATCGATAATCTTCACGATGGCTCGAAAATTAATTTTTAACACCGATACTGAAATTTAAAACTCAAAAAATGATATAGATCTTGCAGATCTATAAACACTTATTTTTAAAGCAAAATGGATGGTCTAAATGATTTGTTGCAATGTACACTATTTTTAAAATTTGAAATCCTAATTTTTTTGCACTATCATATTGTTCAAGACGAGATGATCGATTTAAAGGTTTTTCAAACATTTAGAATTGCAATTTTTGAGGAGTTATGAGGTGAGGCTTTACTTATTTTGATGGGGCTGCAGCCCTATCAAACCAGTTTCCAAGAATTTTTGACACTCCACATATTATGATAAAATATAGAGGTGCACCTTATTTTTATTGTTTAAGGTTGCAACATTATGCAAGCCAAACCTTTAAAAAAATATTTCAATAAACTTAATTGATTAAAATGCTTCTAATTTTTTGGGGTGTTTTGGTCATTTTATTTTATCAAGGAACATTTGTTTTGTATTTTTTTGCAGGTACGAGTTCAAGAGAGGAATGGATTCCCAAAATTTGATATCAAAATATTTTGTAAAAAAAAATATAAAACACTGTAGAGGTGTGATATTGTAATTGGGTCTATCTTAGCCGTCCATTCAGATGGGACCCTTAAATAGGAAAAGCATTTAATTTAATTTAATTATATACAGGAAGAGAAGTATAGAAAATTTTCCCTTCCTCGAAAATATTATGTTGGAAATAATACCTATGTTTCTATGGCAACGATACAACAATTTGTGGCACCATGAACGCATATTTGTACAGGTTTTGAGATTGGAGTTTAACCTTTTTCTTTTTTTTTTTATCGTTTTGCAGTTGGACTTCACTTTTTGGTCGAAACAAATGGGCCCCGCACTCCCTTGTATAAAAGTAAAAGGTTGCTAAAAAAGGTCATATGATAGGAGTATTTTTGTGTAAGAGCGTTCGAAAGTTAGCCGACTAGTGTCTACTTGGCTGGGTTACTCGGGTTCGCGCCCTTGTTGAGCCCGAGTTGACCTGAGTTAGAGGTCCAACTCAGATATCTTATAATTTTTTATAAAATATTAAACAAAAAGAAATATATCTGTAACACGTTTATTTATGTTTTCTATCACATAGATAAAAGATTGGACAGCATTTTTGCCATGAATATTTACTTTTTACACTTTCTTTTTTAAAAAAATTTAAAAAATACTCCCAATCATAAACTCATTTTTTAAAATCTGTTTTTCTCTACTTTTGTGACCACAATTAGTTGTGTTTTATTAAATTTTACTTTGAATATATTTTTCCTTTTTTGGGGATTTTTTATTTTTTTAATAATTTTCCGGTGCTATAGTACTCGCACCGAGTTACTTGGACTCGGGTGAGTACTCAGCTGGGGTATAGGCCAAGTAGTCAGCCGGAGTCGATTTTTCCAACACTGTTTTGTGTAACATTAAAAATTATCATTTGCTTCTCATTGAGTTATTTGTTCTCGTTTCTACAAAATGAAGGGATTTGGAACCAACCTAGAGAAGGGAACAAATCTAAAGGCTAGATGCACTCAATCACATGTTATGAATGAAATTACTTTTTGTAATTTTGAACTTTTGCTCAATAGTTTTTTTTATTGTGCGGTCCCATTAGGTCATTTTCATTTTTCAGTGAAAAGTACGTCTCCATTAGTGGCTACACCTAAGTCCTGGACATCCGTAATAGTGGATATGAATGTGTTTGTAGTATGTAGTTGTACTATTTCCTACCTTGTGGAGTATGGTATGAGGTCATGTTTAACAACATTGATCAATTTCACCATGAACATGTAGGAAAGTAGGACCAGGAAAATGACTGAAGACAAGAATTGGTGATTGGGAGCTATAAATTCGTGTAGTGTAACCAGAGTAACAAACTAAAGGGTGTGGTCTGCATGAGGTGTGAACCTTTTTTTTCTTTTGACAATATTCGAACCTTTTTATCGATCACTCATCAGATTCCAGCAATACTATTATAACACACCCAATACATCATCACTAATGACTGACTCAGTAAGACAAGCCCCTTTTTTGGCTAACCGATCTGCCAAACCATTTGCTTCGCAATAATCATGATAAAAGGAAACCCTCCAGACGCTAAATACAAAATCTGCAACCAGCATTTTTTCAACTGTCAAGGTACTCTATGCTCTCTTTCTTACACCACAAAATAGTATTCAAAGAATCCTCTTCCACCATACATAATACATCCATTTGTTTGTCGTTCAATATCTTTAGGCCTTGTAACAACGAAGCCATTTCAGCCCCGTTAGAAGACATAATCCTAGAAGGTTCCGCATAGCAAAAAACCAAATTCCCATTCCAACCTCTCACCACTCTAACACCCGTAATTCCCGGATTACTCAATAAGCTACCATCGAAATTCAACTTATAACAGCCATGCATTGGGAGAGTCCACTTCACTTTCAGTCTACATTTAACGATGCCTATCTTGAACAAATTCGGGAGATTAGCCAATACATCAATTTCAAGAAACTCCCCAACCTCCTTTCAAACTTGATAACCAACTCAACATTGTATGCTTGATATTGAACAATACACTCTCAAAAGGAAGCATGACAACTCAAAAGTCGTTTCTCTCCTTCCATATCTCCAACATACTGTCCCTCTAAGAATCATCACTTTTTGCCACCCTCAGAAAGCCAATGCACAAAGAATTGAGAAAGGATGCCTATCAAGGAGAAAGGCATGACCCATGCAATATATAATCTTGAAGCAAAAGCACAATGGAGAGAGAGATGAGGTCTCAATTCTCCATCATTTTTGCACATTAAGCTCACATTTGGCAGAACCGTTTCCCTCTTAATAAGATTATCAATAGTTTTTCCTGCACTACTAACAAAGCAGAAGCTTGCACTTTGCAAAGAACAGGCCATTTTCAAACTTTGGAAAGAATTTGATCAGACCATCTCCATCGATCATGAAATAGCATACTATAAACTGATTTAAAAGTAAACATACCATCATTTTCTATTTTCCAAATAATCTCATCCTCTCAGAATTGGAAATAATATAAACATCTTCCAACATAGTCTTCAACTCAAGAAATTGATTTACTACTATCTCAAGTACCTTATTATAAAGAAGTTGGATATTCCAATCCAATTTGCCACCAGCTCTTAAAATAAATCTGCCACTTTAGCACTGGAATTTGATATCCGATCAAATAACTCAGAGAACGAAACTTTCAGGGTTCTATCTCCAAGCCATTTAGTGTGCCAAAAAGAAATACTATCCCCTCTACCAATCTCTCATCTAACACTTCTCTCCACAATCTGCTTAGTAGAAGAGATAGCCCTCCATCAAAAGGAAGACGTCAAAGAGTTTCGCCCCTTCCGAATCCAACAACCATTTCTATCTAGTCCATACTTTGCCACAAGAATTCTACACCAAAACTTATCTTTGAGAATAAACCTTCGCTACCATCATTTCGAAAGTAAAGCAAAATTAACCAGAGATACCCTCCTAATCCCCCAACCATCCTCAGTTTTTGGCGTACACACTTGATCCCACCTTAGTAGGAACATGGATGCATGTTCCCACTAAGCACTGCAACCCATTCCTACATAAAGGGTATCTCATTCTGGTTTTTTTTAAAACTCATTGGTCATTGGGAGGAGATCATGCTCCCAAATTTCAGGGTTCGAGGACCTTATTTATTCGGGAATGGGATCTACAATCGTCATGAACGTGCACCGTTGTATGTGGGATCGAGATCCTTTTGTTCATCAGATTGAGTACCCTATAAAATAGGAGCGAATCCCGAAATAAAAAAAATTGCTTTCCGGTTGAGATCCTGGTTATGGATTACCGGAGCTGGATTCCAGAGCCGGAGCGCCACCCTGTTGGGGTGCTCCCTGTAACTATGATCAAACATTACTTGGGTAGAAGGCTTGGACTATTATTTGTGCCTCTTCTGCCAACTAAACTTTATGTGCATTTACATCTTAAACATCATCCATTGATCATCATGAGAGCTTAACCACGTTGAAACATCAATGGTTACAACTTGGTTGAAGTTGCTAGTGGTGTTGGTACCTCATTAGAACTAAGCTTAAGTTACTAGCTGTTGTCATGCTAGATTTATGGTTGAGATCCAGGTTTACATGATTCCATCTGCAATTTCAGCACACAATGAAATTCCAAAAAAAAAAAACAGAAAAACAGAAAAAAGAACCAGACAGCCGATACAATGATGAACTTGCTCTAGGATTTGTACTTGGGCTTCATTGTTTAAGGCACTGACATTTGCATGTCTACATCCCAAGTTCAGATCCTACCACTAAAAATGAATTTCTCTTTCCTTAGTTTTGCCTTTTCTATCTTGGCGTTCATGAAATTTTAGACAAATTATTTGGGCTTTTTCTGAAAAACGTATAAATCATTTCATCACACAGCATTGTTTTATTTTCTGGTTTTTTCTCTGAGCAAATGACTACTTGTATGTCCATTCCCAATCATGAGTCTATCATCGATTAGAACTGTGCAGTGCCAAACTCAAACTCGAAATTTTGGATACTAATCCAACCTTTTTCTTTCTCTTACAGATACTATTAATAATGAATGAGATGCCTGTCAGCTCCAGAAAATATGACATGATCCGAGGCTTAGCGGAGAAAATTGTTGAAGAAAATGCAAAGGAAAACTGTTGGATATTCCCCGATATAAATCGTCGAGTCCTATCTGCCAGTTTCAGCCACACCCTTCTCCTACTGCAAGAGCGAATGCACATTCAAGACATCGAAGAAAAACGAGGAACATGTGAAGGGAGCCGAGAAGTCAATCAAATCATCCAAAAGATCCCAATAATTCGATCTATAAGGAACTGTTTAGCCACAAAATCGGAGGGCGTAGCAGAGTCGGGAGTGTCGGCTGAGAAGTTGGCCAAGGAGCTACTCTGGTTGGCAGAGAGGCTGGCGGCATGTGGTGCAGCCGACGAGGCGGTATCTCGGTGGAGCAAAGCTTCCACTCTGGCTCGGCTTGCGTTGGAAGGAGATCTTCGACTTCAGGCATCCATCCTTAATGTCACTGGTACGTATTGCTAATAATCTTAAAGCCTGTGCTCTACTCAATTGACAAGAAAATTTGTTGCTAATAATCTTGAAGCCTGTGCTCTACTCAATTGACAAGCAAATTTGTTGCTAATAATCTTAAAGCTTGTGCTCTACTCAATTGACAAGCAAATTTGTTGCTGGGCCTAGTGGTTAGCAGTGAGTAAAGCCAGTGATAGCAATATAAGATTTTATATGGGATTATATACTATAAGATCATTTATCATTGGTACAAGGAGATCACAATTACTCTTAGTCATTAGATGCCAAATTATATAGCTTGAATGTGTTACGAAGCTCAAAATTTTTTTATTTTTTTTTAACTTTTAGTCTAGTCAGTGACACTCTTACAACCACCTGATTAGAAATTTGACGAACAAGAGTGACTGTGATCTCCATGTATCAAAAGTAAATAGTCTCTCTGTATACTTTTCCATATTATATTGCTTATCAAGGTTACAATCGTCATTTTATAAGTTAGACATGAAAATTTTAGGCGATACCTAATAAAAATGAAAGATTAATTTGTAATATAAAAATTGACTATATTGCCACAATCAATATTTATTTATGCGAATTACTTTTTATATTTTTATTGGTCGCGCCTACTTTAAAAGAGTTTATGCTCCAAATTTTAATGTGAATTGATTTATGGAAGAAATTTATATAAGATGTATTATTGAAGTGAGGGCACCTAAAAAATCCTCTAGAAGAAAGTGTCCTGGCATTGGAAAACCCTCCAATCTGGTTGTCTCGACCTCAAAATGTATGAATAAGAATAAAAAAAAAATTCAAGTCCTAAAAATAGTATATCTTGTAAGAAATCACATGGACAATCTATTTTCAAGATTTTCAAGCATTTATAGATCTTCTTAATCAGTTTGGTATTTTAAATATTATAACTAGAAACAACGGGTTACAAAATGCATGTGCACACATATAGAAATGGTGACTAGGTCCAGGTTGGGGTTGATCTAACAGGTCGGTTCTAGTTTAAACTCAGAGCGTATAAAAAACAAAAAAAAAGATCCTAAAAATACAAAATATAAGAATGTTGTATAAGTTTTTGTATGTATATTAGATATTTTTGGCAAAGATTGGTAACTGTTTTTTTGCCATAATCTCAATTTTTATATTTTCCTTTTTTTTATATATATTTATAGTATACTATGCGACCATTTATCCTTAGTGCAAGGATGTCACAATTACTCCTAGCCATTAGATGTCAAATTGGATTGCTTGGGGTGTGTCAGGAAGTTCAAGAATTATTATTGTTATTATTATTAAACATTGAGTCTAGTCAATGACACTCTTACAACCACCCGATATGAAATTTGATGGACAAGAATGACTGTGACCTCCTTGTATTAAAGTAATGGTCTCTATGTATACTTTTCCTTTTTAACATGTCCTCAACTATAAATCAAATTTTAAAATTAATTTCTCTATACTTTTTTAAGCTCATTTGGACTTTTTAATTTTGCTTTTGGTTTTATTTCACTTTTACTGCATTTATTTTATTTATTTATACTTTCCTGATATTCTCTTATAAAAATTTTCTAAGGCTTTTGGCCCTGTACAAAGTTGGGGCAAGCCCACTCATACTCACCCAGGTAAACTCGCCTGGGGCTAGGACCGAGTACCTAGCCCAAGGCAAGTTCTTAAACACTATTAAAACTAATCTACTTGGACAAGATATTGGAGTAGATTTGAGTAATTTCATGGCTCATTTACGAATAGAAAGAAACTCAGAAATGCCAATTATTCCTCCCAAATTCGGAATTTATATAATGGGATGTAAATGTACTACAAAAAAATACTATGTCATTTGATTTAAATACCTTATAAATGGTGCAGTTAGCGATATGGCCGAGGCTTTATATTAAAAAGTAAATTGCTGCAACCATGGTTTGAAAATCTATTTCTATCCCTAGTTATGAAATTCAAAGTTCCCGAGTTGACAGATTTATAAACATTTGAAAATAAACTATCCAAAAAATATATTACAATGTACACTATTTTTAGAGCTTGAAATCTATTTTTTTCCGAGCCTATAATAATCAAATTCGTGATTGTAAAATCCGAGTTATCCCTTCTGTCCATTTCCCAAACCATGTTTTAATAGGATAAATTTGTTTGCCCTCGCAGTGTTCTTGTTGAGGAAGATGAGAGAGATGGAGGAGGGGGTGATGGATGAGGCATCAATGGCCAAGATGTTAGTAGGGTGGATGCCATTGCTTTGCCACGCAAGCAACGGCCTAGATTCTCCTGTGCTCACAAGCTCTCAAAAGAGGGAGATAGAGGGTGTCTTGGAGGTTCTCATGGAGAAGCTATTGGACAGAGACAGAGAAGCTGTCTTAAGCCTATGGCTCTCTCAGTACGCTCGCTCATCCTCTGATTGGCCAAATCTCCAAGCCTATTACACTCATTGGTGTGCAGTCTCTAGAAAGCTCACCACTATTGATTGAAAACATTCTATTTTAGATTTCATTGAAATTTCAGTGTAGTATTTGTACACACAAAGTACCGATATCATGATAATCAGGCTTTGGGCTTGAATAGTTAGCAGCTGATGTCAAGCAACGCGATATCTCAAGTTTGATTCCTACCACTGAATTACCGAAAATAAAGTGCCTGCATCATAAATCTAATGTGACTATGTACAAAATGTGGGCACTTATTGATGGGTAGGGAGTTTCTGTTATTAGTGGGACAGTTCATGTAAGTTTATGTACCAAAATGGGTGGTTCAGTAGAGAAACAAGTAGGGCACATTTGGCATTGCATGGGCTTGATTGATCAGGTGTTATGCAACCTCCTCAGTGGTGACATAATACTTAAATGAAAATGGCGCATGCTCAATTTTTTTGGCAATATTTGTTACTGAAGGTCCATTTTGTGCAACACTTTAGTCGTATGTGTGTTACTATAATTCTAGAATAATTCTAGAATACTGGAGAACAATTGGTTTTTAGGATATTCTTGTTTGGAAAAGGTTTATATATTATTGAAGTAAGGTGCACCTCAAAAATCCATCATAGGAAGTTATTTAGATGTTATAAATCCTTCAAATTGATCAATCAAAACCTTGAGATTTATGGATATGAACAAAAAAAAATTTAGGCCATATAAATGATGCATCTTGTAATGCATTATGTGGACCATCCATTTTTCAAAATTCTAAGTGTTTATAAATTTGCTTGATCTTCATCTTTTTTAGAGCCTTAAATTTCATAAATAGGGCTAACAATAGATTTTCATGTCATCACTAAGCTTTATGGCACCGAATATGCATCTTTCGATACAGTTTTGTAGTGTGTCTTACTTCAATAATATAAGGTTGACACTTCTACAAAACCTCACCCCTCTTGTTTAGCCTCCAGTTTGTGCGAGTTTTCATGCATGGAGCTTAAGGTAGGACGCAAATAAGGGTGGCAATGGGCTGGGTGGAGTGGTCTGGCCCGGTTAGCTTAGACCTAAAAAGCTAGGGCATAATGTGGCCCGAGGGCCCGGCCAAGGCCTGCACAAGCTATCCCTCTTTTTTCTTTGTTTTAGTTCTTTTATTTGTCTATTTCACCCTGATAGAGCTAGGGCTAAGGCCTCTTTAGACTCGTCAAGGATGGGGTGGCCCGGCCCAGGCCCCCCCTGTCGCCAACCCTAGATGTGAATATCTTGCAAAAAGATTCCCGCACTGGCTTGTTAAAATAAACGGTAGTAAAAGTCACATTTAGGGTATGTTTGGTACCTGAGAAAGCTATTGCTTGGAGAATATCTGAGTAAATTGGAAGCCTAAGAAAAAGGTAGAAGTAGAAAACTCATGGTGGGAGAACCTTGTTTATGTAACTTATTTGCGAAAACTAGAGAAAGCTTGAGCTAGAGCGCAGGCAAAGAGAGATTGAGAGGGGAGAGAGATCGTGAGGTTAGAGAAATGAAAAGAAAGGGGGATCTCGTGTTTTCTACTTTAACTAAGAAATGGACTGCACAACCCTTTGGGCATGCTGCAATTTTCTGGAAAATTGGGAAAATACATGGAAATGAGGAGAAATATGGAGCTCCGTGTTTCCATGCTTTTCCCCATTTCCAAACAGGGGAAAATGTAGTAACTAAAAAAACAGTTTGTTTTCTCCTGTTTCCTAGTTAGCAAGCAACGGCCTTAGAGCTCAAAAGCTCCCCAAACCAAAATTTGCACCTAGACTAAATCTGTACCACCCATTTGAGCACAGATTTTCACCTTTCTTTCTAATGCATCAAAGATGCTTTGAGAAAGTTTTAGGTCACACAAATTCTCCATAGTGATGACAACAGAGGACAACCACATAGAAGCCCTTGCAAACATGGAGGTGACAACTTCTACTAGCCCATAGTGCTCTAGTTTCTTAAACATACTAATATGGGGAACCATGTGTAATTGTGAACAGCACAACCAAAGATAAAGGCATTTCTCATCAAAGCCATAATGTTGATCATCCACTCCAAGAAGGACATTCGAGATCATTCTACATCTCATCCAAATCCACTTTAATTTGTAAAATGGAATAAATTTTGGTAAGAACTCAGGGTAGAATGTTACGATATGCTACATCCTTTGAAAAATGTCACATTGACAAAAATAAGTGGTTTTAGTATTAAGATGGGCGGAACGCCATAGATCTAGTAGTGTTATTTAGTATGTTTTGATGTTGGTAAGTTCATAGATATAGAGTTAGTTGCTATTAGGCATTTGGATGGTATAACGTCCACCTGATGTGTACAAGCACTCTTCAACGGTTCATATTGCCACATTTAACCGTCGATTTTTATTTTATTTTTTATTCAAGTACTATTTTTATTCAAGTACTATATTTATCTGAAATTTGGTTTATATGGGGTGTGGTTCAATCCAAAGTCTAGGAACCGCATCTTGTGAACATAGGTGATATGGTTGCATAACCGGAGGATTAACTTTTTGGAAGTACTTGACTCGTACGATGGCCTAGACATTTAGACCATAAATAGATGGGGAGTGTAAGCCATTGTGTGTTATGCTTAGTGTTAACCCATATTTTCCCTGGTACTAAATTATGACCATACATGTTTTTTAAGTTGTCATTCTGACGCACTGTGTCGACACTTTCACATAACGTGTCCCATTTTTAGACGCGCAGTGTCTCTTTTGTTGTATATTGTGGGATTGAACCCATAACCATTTGAGATGGCATTAAAAATATTAACCTCCATACCATTCATTTAAAGTATAAATATACATGGAATATATATTACTTATATGTTTATTGATTGTATCTACTGTTAAAAGTCAAATACCATAAATGCCTAATAGTGCATTTATTATCTAGAAAACAATAATGAGAAAGTATCAATAAAGGACATACATATCTTTATACATGCCCTGTAATGTATGAAAGTTTTGTTATAACGATTTTATGAATATATAATTATAATTATCATACGCATGTCTTTATGAATATAATTTAGAAAAAATTACTAAAACCCTCAAAATTGAGTTTTTTAGACACTCTACCTCCACCCTAATCTTTTTTTACTTATTTCTTTTAAAAATCAACTTTTTTTACTAATACCCCCTCAACTTAAAAAAAAAAGTAAATAACGACGAAATTACACCCCATTTTTTACTTTACCCTAGTTTTTTTATTTTACCCAATTTTTATTTTGTTATTCGCCCTCTCCTGACTTCACCATTTCATTTTCTTGTTCATCGTAGTTTTTCCTATGGTTTTCCCCAACTTCTCCTCCTTCTTCGCGGTTCCCTCGCGGTTTTCCCCATTGCCTTGTCCTTCTTCCTTGCGGTTCCTTCTTCCTCGTAGTTTTCCCATTGGCTTCTCCTTCTTCCTCACGGTTTCCCCATTGGGTTCTCGATTTGTAAAAAAACTCAAAGGTGTTCTTCCTCACGGTTTTCCCACTCACTCTTCTCCTTATACCTCTTTTTCTCTCAATTGCTCTTTCTACCGAGGCCCTACTCACTCATTCTCTCCCACAAAGTACCCTTTTTTTTATCTCTATCTCTCTCTACAGTCGAATCTCTCTCTACATTTGAAGGTGTCATTGTCCATCTTAAGGTTTTTCTCTGACTCTCTCTACAATCGAATCTCTCTCTACATTTGAAGTTGTCACTGTCCATCTTAAGGTTTTTCTCTCACTCTCTCTACAATCGAAGGTCCCACAGAGCACAACTATATTGAAACGAAGCCCATCATAGGCCGAGCTCGATTTTTCACTACCAGATATGAAAGAGTAGTTTGATTAAATATTTTAAAACATTTTTTATCTAATATTTATGTTGTAACTTCTACTTTGGGGTTAAAGATTAGAGTGTGAAAATGTGTTCGTTAATCATATGAAGTGAAAATATGCATCAATAGCTTGTTAATTGTGTTAAAATTTATGTTGTTTCTGATGAAAATTTAGATGAGAACCTTTCCCTAAATTATTTTGTTGGGTTTTTATTTAGGCATATTGGATGTATTTAATTTGTCATTGACAATTGGAGGAATGGATAGGGAATTCTTAAAATGTATTGATTTTTTTTCTTAATTTGTTATGGGTATTGTCAATGTCTCTCTATTGTCAGTTTAAGGTATGAATGTTATTGGTGGAACTATTGTCAATAACTATATTATTTTTATTGTCCACTTGCAGCGATTAACCTATATAGGGATGCTACAAGTTGTACTTAGTGGTGAAGTAATAGCAAGGGAATGCAAACGTTTGGTACAGGCGACCCACGATTTGTTAGTGCAGAACACTCCTATAGATAATGCCGCGGAGATGGTGTAAGGAGATGATGGAAGTGAGGGCGAGGAGACAGATGGTGGAGATGACGAAAACGAAAGCGTTAATGGAGATAGTGGAGATAAGGAAAGCAAGATTGAAGAGGGAGATGGTGGAGATGAGGAAAGAAAAACTGAGGGTAGAGAAGAAGAAAGAGAGAGAGAGATTGATGAGGAAAATGAGAGGAGAACAAAGAGCAAAAATGATTACGACAAGGGTTTTGCAAATTGGCCAAAGAAATGGTTGAAGTGAAGAAAGTGAAAATTATGTATTTTTTTTAAACAAATGTAAATTGAAAAGGTTATGAACCTTTTTTGAGACAGATGTTAAGTTCTTTTTTAACATTTGAAGCTACTTTATCAAAGTAGCAAGTTAATGAAATGTACATTCTTTTTGTTGTCATTATGTTAATCGAATCAATGTCATTTTAAGTTCTTTTTGCTGTCATACTAGCCAATTAATGAAAACTGTAAACTACTCAGGGTGTTCTTTATCAATGTAGTTCCTGCTTTGAAACTTGGTCAAGCATAGGCCAACGAGTTTGTAACTTTATCAATGTAGTTCCTGTTTTGAAAATGTTGATATGAATGAGTTTGTAAAGATTAATATGATAAAATTGTTGATGGATTCATTTTTCTTGGATCATTGCATAAGCACTTGTTCATAGGCCAATACATAGCGCAATCCATCGAGATGTTATGAAGTAGCTTTGGGGTTAAAAGTGAAATCTGAGAAGGCTTCTGCATTTGGCATTAATTGTTACGAGCCTCTAGTGAAAGAGCTAATAGCTCCCATGGGTTGTAAGGTGGACCATTTTCCAATTACCTATTTGGGTTTACCAATTTCTGATGAGAGGTTGCCTATTT